GAGCTGGATTGGTAATTGTTAATGACATAACTTTTGGCACAACTTTTGTTTGACAGAAGTCTCATGAAACCACTGAAGTGACAGATGTGGAAGAATCCATGTTCCCTTTGGGTTCCATGCAAAGACCACAGTACCATTATATTTTGATCCACCCTAAAATTGTTCCATCAGTATTTGGATATGCCGTACTGCTGCCTAGTACACCTATCAATACCACCTTAACAATTAAACTAAAATAAAAAATCATGTTCCCTTACAAAAAAAACGCCAAACTCCATAAGGAATCATATACAAAGAACAAATGAGCACAATTATATCAAGAAAAACACATTTAAAAACAGAAAAATTGCCAAAACTCAGTTCTTTTAAAGTTCAAGACTTCATAATATTTAATAAACTTAAATAACAGTTTCCTGCCTTCTGTCACAAACTTCAGGGAACTCTATTCGTAGAGCTACAGTACATTTGTTACATGTCACATTGTGCTGTTGCATTCAAAGGTGGTCGGGAATAACTAATAATGCTCATATAAACAAAATCATGGGCATCCTACACTTATTAAGAAAGCATCAAAATCCACAAAGTTTTGTGGAACTTCAAAATGTTACCAACAGTTTCTATTTCATGGTAATCTGACTGTTGGGCTCAATTATGAACACTTCATAGAACCAAAACTCAAGCAGACGGAGTCAATGGACGAGCTGATAAACGTCCCGTCTGTAACATATTAAAATGGACTGTTTTTATTCCTAAAGGTTTATTAAGGCACACTATTCACCAACTAGCTTCACCAACAGATTTTTGCTTAACCAAGACATTTTAGCACAGCAGCAGTAAGGTTTCTAACTCATGGCAATAATTAATTGAAGAGTAACGGCTCCTGTTATTGTACAGTACCACGTGCTTAGGGAGGGCATTGCCTTTCACATCCTTTTTTTTTTGGCAGATCCACTGGATACTCGCTTTGGTTTGTGAGGCCTAAAATATTTCATGTTAGTGGAGTTTTCTTTCTTCACCCAAAGAGGAAATCTGTCTGCTGCAGACGTCATTTTGAAACAAAGCCTTTGTCCAAGAGTTGCCTTTAACCACATTACATATTTATCCTTTTGTAAGGCTGGGAAACATTTTTCTCCACATACTGTTTGACAGTAACTATATTCTAGGATGCATTTGACCTACTCAAACTCAAGACTCAATTATATACAGTTCACAAAACTTGAGCCTGGCATGTTTGCAGTCTTTAGAAAGTTTAGGAAACTCCACATAGACCTAAAAAGAGTTTAAAGAAGTTTTGGTTTTGCAACCAGCTGACTCACTGGTGAGTGAGATATCAACTGGTTCTCATTGGCTTTAATGAGTCAAAGGCAAAGTTGCTTGAGGGAAATTGCTCAAGGCCAAAATGATTAACTATGTTGCTACAGTATAGAATACTCTTCATCACCTGAAAACAAGCACAAGGCTGCTGCAAGGAATTTGTATCACGATCAGATTTTCCTAATTCCCAAACACACAGAATAAAAATAATAATAATAAACAGCATACTGTATGGTTCTATGTGACAAGTGCAGTCAATATATCCTTCAGCAGCTCAATAATTTAACATTTTTACCCTCACTCTTGACACATTTGACTCTAAAGTGTTTTTTTAACTGGAGTGTAAAACATTACCTTTGCTCTAGAACACCTTCAGGTGTTACCATCCACCGGATAATCATAAACTCATTAAACGACGATTCGTTTAACCTTCTGCACTCAGAACGTATTGAGTTACTCATTTTCCAGTGTCTTCGTCCCGGGTGTTATCTGAACGGCTGGTAGAATTTGCGCAGTTCATCCCAGAAAAACAACGAAAGAATGGTGTGTGGACCGAGTCGGAAATAAGACGCTCCCAGGCCTTTGTAAAGCCCCGTCAATCCCTCCTTCTTCAGGGTTTTGGAAAAGCAGTCAGTGAATCCTTTATAGAGCTGACCCTAAAAAACAAGAGAATGATTGTTCTTGTTCTACATCCACCTTGTTTTTTTGTTCAAGCAATCTTTCTTGTCTAAACCTGGAGCCAAGTGACCAACAATTTCTCCCACACAAATGGGAGATGACACAATGGGGGATTCACAGAGGATGGATACAATGAAAACATATCAACCACGCCATGAGCTAGGATCTTCCCTTCACTTCATACTTCCCCAGTCTGGCCCCTGTGCTCACCTTGCCCAAATGATCCACGGGCTGGTTGTAGAGCCGCGTGCTCACCACATCAAAAGGAGTCATAGCCAGCACCACCACCACACTACTGATCATGCCGGCGCTGAGGGCCACCAGCCAGCTGTTCGCTGGAAACACCTTGGCAACAGAAGAAAATAATATTACAGGATGGACAGGAGCCCGTGCACACGTGGGCCTGCGGTTGCAGTAGAAGTAGAGTAGAAGTAGAGGAATGTAGTGCAGTCACTTCTAATTTTAACTCCTCATAATTGCACGGTTACGTGCAGCGAACCAGAGGAAGGAGGCTCCATTATTATCGAGGTCATTCCATCTGAAGTTACCGTGCACCTTCCGATTCACCTGCTAATACAGCCCAACGTTTGGATATATAAAATTTTATTTGTTTAACACATATTGTAATTTAAAAATCGTCCGTCGATACATTTCAAAGTTTTGTCACACTTTGAAATCTGAGGCGATCTTCAACACGAGTTTCTCAAAAGCAGGTAAAGACAAAAGCCTGACATTTTCACTTGTCTTTCTCACCATCCAATATAATAAAGCTATTCTTTACAGTCCCATATTTAAGCACACCCTTTAAACAAATATCTAGAAACTATTTGATGTTTCAAGCTGAAATTTCTGGACTCCCCAAAGATATCTCCTTATTTGGTATTTGATGATGATGGAAGAGAGCTGTCTAATGCATAGTGTCAGCCCGGCTGTAGCACAACCCATATGATGGAGGGAGCTTTGCACAACACCTCGCAATGTTCTGACTCAAAATCTAGCATGTCAGCATTTTTTTTATAACTCTACGGCAATAATTTTGTCTCTTCTAATTTTTGAAAAATCCAAAACCGCATGTACCGCTTCAGTTCCCACCATCTGGTTGAAATCATTAGCCAATTTGTCCATCCTTATGAAGCACACTGTGAAAGACGGAAAGCATGACTCACTGACGAGGACAGGAAAGAAAGACAATATATTGCCCAATGACCACAATAACACCCAAAAAAAGTCATAGTCTGGACTCTCATAGAAGTTCAGCTATCACTCTTGATTGTATAAATTTTTCCAGTTTTTTCCATTTTTAGTTATTTTATTCTGGCACAGTTAATGTGGACCACCCACAATTTTGCTGTACACGTGCAATGACAACAAAGGGCAATTTTATTCTTTTCTATTCTAAATACAAAGTTCTTCTTCTTTGGTTTAATAAAGCTAATTATGCATGAAGTAATGGCTGAGATGATGGGAGGTATGTTCAAGTCCACCTCCATCTTTACTCACACAACCAACCAGTTGGGACAGCGTAAAGTAAGTCAGCCAAATCAAGGAAGTAGTAAATTAAAAGTATACACAAATGTAAGGATTTTTGCTAATATAATTTTTGGGGAATGTCTTATTAAGGAACTCTTTTTTTAAACTAGAGCTGGGTCACTGATTTACATCATGCAGACTGATGCTCTAGTTATGCAAGCCTCGTGTTTTCAACAGGGGGCCAATAAAAGGTGTTGAATTTCCATTCCAGAGGAGTGGAATACAGAGTGCTTTGTCAGTGCTACAGTGGGCGCTTTAGGAGCCTGTAAACAGCTACTGACTGTAAATCACCTTCTCAAGCCTCTAGTTCTGATTTGGTCTTGTAATTAGACAAGAATGTAAATACGGAGCGTTCAGATGTGTTACCCAACCAACACTCACTATACAAGCAGACTCTAAAAACCAGTCATGTTTATTTTAAACAGTGTGGACATATGGAAAATATGCACACATGGTGGAGTAGTGAAGAAACAAAACTCCCTCTGTGAGCCGCCTTCTACCTCATTTTCATGTCAAAAGCAAATTGAACCACACACCAACCTGCAGGTCAATGACGAGCTCCTTGGAGGAGGAGAAGGTGGAGAGCTGAGCGGCCGACCCCACGCTGACCCTCGGCACTGCAGCGCTAGAGCCCCTCCACAGTCCCAGAATGCCATGATTTCTGTAGATGGCAACCAGGGCGTGGGTCATCCCCTGTGGTGAAGACAAGCAGCATTTTAGGACACTGTTGATGCCTCCCACTCATATTCACACATTCACTTTCTCAGGTTACCTGGTGCTTGTACTGATGACCAACCGCGATTGAGGAGGTGGCCTGGCTCTGCAGGTGAGTCTTCACCTGTCAGTGGAGACAATTTAAGTTTACCATTGACCACAGGTGAAAGTCACAGTTCACTTTAAGGTCACGCCTGAATAACTTTTCACAAGGCAAGTGGGCAAAGCCAGCTACTGACCAAGTATATGGGGCTGCCCATCACAGCTCCCACCACTCCAGCCATAGCCCCTGCTACTGTGGTTTTGACAGCGCTGACCCTTCCATTGGTGTGGATGTAACCCGAGGACTCTATGATGGCGTACGACCCGAGCCTGACTCCATTCATAAAAAACTGATAGCATAGCCCGGGTACTAATCCTTTCTGTAATCCCACTAGTCCTTCCACTTTGCCGATAGTATAAAAAGCGTGGAAGACGTTGCGATAATGAACATGATAGGATCCGTGGCTCTTTAGCTCTCCCTGAAGCTGCATGCGAGTTTTGACGACCTCCAGCGGGTTGGTGAACACACAAGCGCCGCATGCCGCCACTCCGCTCAGCACGAAATCCATCGCGACAGACCGACCGAGTGACCACCGACGGGACGACAGATGTACGCTTGAGACCGGCCTCCAGTCTGTCTCGTCTTTCACATCCCTGGACTTTTGCTAAGCAGCTACCCCCTCCCACATACAGTACATCCGTACAAACCACGACAGCTGAGTACAATACAAGGAAGACATAAGAGTACTTCAATGCGCCTCGTAATCTCAAAATTTCGATACACGAAATAAGAAAAATCGCGCATCTGCTGAAGGCAGCAACAAAGCAGACATATCCAATTGCGGTATTTAGAGAATTTCAACTTATGCGTGATTTCATTTTATTTCTCTGTTCCGTGAAATCATATTCACCCGTGCTACCAATTATTTTTTATACACAACCACAACAACCATTTGGAGATTTATAAATGCGCAGTGAAATTAAAATAAAATAAATGGACATTAAAAAATATAAACAGAATGCTGTTAAATACCCTATTAGTTACCACCATACTAGTTAAATATCTATCCATCAGTTGCATGTTGCTGCCTTTAAATTTCATCGTACACTTTTTCTGGCCCCTAAACATCTCACGTTAGAGATTCTACTGGTGCGCATGGGCTTGCCACAGGTGCGTGCTACGCAGTTCACGTAACGCGTCTCTGCTCAGCCAATGAATTTGGTCCTTTATCTTTGTGCTCGGTTAACAACAGTCACAATAGACAGACGTGATTGGATCAACGATTGCTGGTGCTAGATTGGATCGACCAGATGACCAGTTCACCCATTGTTTTGAATTACCCGATGTGATAGTTTTTGGATAAATCCTATCAGAGCTACTTGCATCCAGCCACAATTAAAAGGAAAAAATAGGAACTATCACCTAAGACAGTGTTTCTCAACCTTTTGGAGTCGCGGCACATATTTCACATTAGAAAAATCACACGGCACACCACCAAACAAAAATGTCACAAAAAGCATATTGATAATTTTTTCCAGCACACGAGGTATAGCGGAATTGGCTCGGTTTGTCCCCACAGTATACCTTTTTGCTTTCTTCTGAACACTACTCATGCAAGGGCCTTCACCTGGGTTGGAACTTTCTCCAGGACGCAGGTCAGACGGACTACTTTTTCCTATTTTATCTATTGCTATTATGCACTGCGTCATCTCACAGAGTGACTTTTTAATTCTTCGTCTTCTTCTGTTTTACTGCAAGTTGCCAACCCATTTAATTAGAGAAGGTAGTTACACTGCCCTCTAGTGGAAGAGAATGTAATTGTTCTGCCCGTTATTCACGCCGATTACTTACACTAAGGTGGAACCAGATAATCTTCCACGGCACACCTGATCATTTCGCGGCAAGGTGGTTGGGAAACACTGACCTAATACACAGTTAACAGTTAATTTCAGATTTTTTTGTTCAATATTTTGTTGAAGCATCAATTACTCTTTTTTTTTTAAAAAAAAAATAGTATGATGCTACAAGCTTGGCAGTTTCTCCCATTCTTCTTTGCAGAACCTCTCAAGCGTTGTTCCACAGCTATTTTGAGATCTCTCCAAAGATGTTCAGTCGGGTTCAAATCTGGGCTCTGGTTGCAAAGCCACTCCTTTGTTATTATTTCTGTGTGTTTAAGATGGTTTGAAGATGAACTTTGACCCACTCTGTGGTCTTTTCCCTTCCTTTTTCCAACCTTGACATTTTTCCTCACAGTTCCTGAGGCTAAAAAACAAAACAAAAACATACCCACAGAATGATGCTGCCATCACTGTAGATGGAGATGTGGTGCTGGGATGATATTGGCCAGGAAAAAGAATTGGATCCTTGTTTCATCCAACCAGATTTTGTTTATTGTGGTCTGAGAGTCCATCAGTTGCCTTGCAAGGTTCTCCACAGAGCAATGCTGGAGCTCTGTGAGAGTGACCATGAGGTTCTTAGTTGCCTCCCCAATACAGGTCCTTCCTAAAGTCAAAGTCAGCTTTACTGTTAAAAACCATTTGTACAGGTCATACACAGGAATTTGAAACTGCAGTGCTCCCACAGCCCCCAGTGTTACACTAAAACAACAGAAATCAATCTCAGAGCAATCTACCTTAATTGCTCAGTTTGGCTGGGAGGCCAGTTCTAGAAAAAGACCTAGTGGTTCCAAATTTCTTTCATTTGTGGATGATAGAGGCTACTGTGCTCATTGGGACTTTCAGTGCTGCAGAATTTTTTTTTCATACAGTTCCCCAGATTAATGCCTCTATACAATCTTGTCTCTGAGCTCTACAGGCAGTTCCTTGGACGTCATGGCTTGGTTGGTGCTCTAACATACACTGTCAACGATAGGACCCTATATAGACAGGTATGTGCATTTACCAACTAATGTTCAACCAACTGAATTTACCACAAGTGGACTGCAGTTAGCTTGTAGAAATAATTGTCAGATGATCCGTATAAACAGGATACATCTGAGTGGCAAAGGCTGTGAACACTTGTGTACGTGTTATATTATTGGCAATAAATCTGTAAGAACTTCAAGCCAACTTTTTTGACTTTATCTTAATGCTTCTTCAAATAGTGTCTATCACTAAGGTCATTGCTCTGGTTAATATCCATGTCTTCAGAACTCAGAAGGTTTATCATACTATAGTATGTCAGATACACCAAACTGAAAGCTGTTTCCCTGAACAGCTACCCTGAGGTACTGTCCCTACACACTGCTCCCTGGGCGCCCAGTGGCTGCCCACTGCTTCACTGAGTGAATAGGTTAAATGCAGAGAGGAATTTCCCCACGGGGATCAATAAAGTATAAAAAAACAACTAAAAGAAAGGTTTCCATCCATTCTAAATGTACTCTATATTTCCAAAAGTACTTGCTTGTCTGCCGCATATAAACTTGAGTGGCATCCCATTGTTAATCTATAGGTTCTATAGGGTTTAATAAGATGTGCCCCACCCTTTGCAGGCATAACAGCTTCAAGTCTTTCTTTCACAAGGTTTAGGAGTGTTTATGGGAATTTTTCTGGGAGCATGAAATTATCCAAAATGTCTTGTGAAAGAGTTCCTTTCACTAAAACTAAGGGGCTGAGCCCAACTCCTGAAAAACAATCCTACACCATAATCTCCCCTCAACCAAACTTTACACTCGGCACAATGCATTCTGACAAGTACCGTTCTTATTGCAAACGCCAAACACAGACCTATCCATCAGATTGCTAGACGAAGAAGCACGATTAATCACTCCAGAGATCACATCTCCACTGCTCTAGAGGCCTTTGGCGGCATGCTTTACACCACTGCATCTGAAACGTTGTGCTTGGTAATATAGCTGCTTCACTATATCTTTTGCTTTTAGCCACACCAAGGTCGAGGCTGGTTCATAGGGGCGATCGAGCATTTGCAGTTGTAGCGCCTAAGCTGTGGAATAATTTACCCCTACACATCAGACAGGCTTCTACTGTCAATCTTTTTAAATCTTATTTAAATTTGTATTTACATTTGTATTTACTGGCTTTTAATACAGCATCAGAGTTATTTGTTAATTCATATTTGATATTTGGTATCAATATTATAGGTTATTTTACTAAGTATTTTGTATTCTTGTACAGCACTTTGGTCAACATTCCTGTTGTAATTAAATGTGCTATATAAATAAATAAATACTAATGGAAACAGACTCCATGAAGTTCTCTATGCAATGTTCTTGAGCTCATCTGAAGGTTACATAAAGTTTGAAGGTCTGTAGTGATTGACTCTTCAGAAAGTTAGTGACTTCTACACACTATGCACCTCAGCATTCACTGATCCTGGAGCAGTGTGCATGCCCACGTGACTGATGGAAGACATTGGAACTCCTGAATTCAATGATTTGGATGGCTGAGTGAACACTTTAGGCAACATATTTAATGACATTACAGGATGTAAATCCTCTTTTGACTTATATGTTTACATTTTAGAATTTTTGCAGCAAACACAGATTAAGGTAAATCTGTGTTTGCTGCACAGAGGACCCTGACCTCACTGTAAAATGTGTGTCATTGAGTTAAAGTTAGAAACACCAGGTAACCAGGGCAGCTCCGCTGAGCTCAATTAGAGATTACTGCGTGAGATAGAACAGTGACTTCCACTGCTGTTTTTAACCCCATCTCTGTTTAATCAGATGAAGAACACTTACTGCTCAGCTGCGTGAGGATCACGAATATTCTAACAGCTCCAAAGCGTGTGCACTGCAAATATAATGAGATCTTAACACAAAATTAATTAAATGGTCTTATTGTAGTATTGAATATATTGTAGTTGATCAAATTGTCTCGTGACAGGACGATGGAAGAATGAGCATAAAAGCCGGATAAGACGGATGTTTTTCCCAGATGATTATAATTTCTGTGACATCAACTTTGATTTCACAGATAAAAACATAGTGGTCAGATCCTCTCGACTGTCACGGTCTTTGGACTAATTTGATTAACGTCCCCATCTGGGTCGGTGGGTTTGTTTGTTTTTCATCACAGAGCTGGATTAGACGTGACAGTAAAAATGGTTTCACTTCAATGCCTTTTAAATAGGATTTGTGCCAAGTGCGTTTTGATGCACACAGTGAGACTTAAAACAGCCAAACAGGCCCAGAATTTCTGTTATT